TTTCGAAAATAGACTTACGGGGGGGTTACCATCAGATTCAGGTCGGGCCGTCGGACTGCGCCAAGACAGCATTTAGGACTAGGTACGGGTCGTTCGAATACACGGTGATGCCTTTCGGGCTGACGAACGCGCCGGCAACATTTCAGATGACCATGAACGAGGCGTTTAGGCCACTTTTAGATAAATGCGTGATAGTTTACCTCGACGACATCCTCGTTTACAGTCGTGACAAGTAGCAGCACTTAGCAGATCTCAAAGCACTGTTTAAAGTTTTAGAGGAACATCGGTTACTCACCAACGGCTCTAAGTGCGAGTTTTTTCGGGACAGGCTAGAATTTTTAGGGCACGTTATTTCGGAGGCTGGAGTTGAAATCGACCCCAAGAAGCTGGATACGGTCAAAGCGTGGCATCCCCCGACGAACATCACGGAACTGCAGAGTTTTTTAGGGTTCGTTAATTATGTTCGTCGGTTCGTCCCCGACATGGCACGATTAACCGCCCCGCTGACAGACTTGCTACGCAAGGGGGTCGTTTTTATGTGGGGGGAGAAAGAGCATGCTGCCTTCTCTGCCCTGAAAAATATTCTCTGTTCACCACCCGTCCTGCACATCGCTGACCCACATCGCCCCTTCGAAGTTGTTACAGACGCAAGCGACATCGCCATTGGAGCCGTACTGTTGCAGGACTTCGGCAACGGCCTACAGCCCATCACATACGAATCACGAAAACTGCATCCGCCCGAACGAAATTACCCGATACACGACCGCGAAATGCTCGCGATCGTGCATGCGTTCAAAGTATGGCGCTGCTACTTGACCGGCGCAGACGTGACAGTACGGACAGACCATCGATCCCTACAGTACCTCCGCGCACAGCCCCACCTCAACCCACGACAGATTCGGTGGCTCGATTTCCTCGAGTCAAACTTCCACTATACAGTCACATATAAAAAGGGAGCCTCGAACATCGCCGACGCACTGACCCGCCCCACTGCCCAGATCCATGCGATACTACTCGCCCAGACCAGCCCGCTACTGACAGGACTATTTACCCACGGATATCAAACGGACCCATTCTTCACAGGAGGAAACTCGCAGCAATTCGCAGCAGCCAAGGGAGTCTATTACGTAAAAGCCGGAACCGAACGCATCTGGGTACCGAGGTACACACTGCTACGGGAATTACTGTTACAGGAGGCACATGACGGAGTTACCTCGGGACATTTCGGAGTAGAGAAAACACGGCAGCAACTGCAGCGGTATTATTATTGGCCCGAAATGTTGACCGACGTACAGCGACTCGTGGCATCATGTCCCACTTGCCAGATCATGAAGTCAACCCGGAAGCGGCCGGCGGGACAGCTGCAACCAATCCCACCCCCAGAGCGTGCTTGGCAGTAGGCGACGATGGACTTCGTCACGGGGTTACCGGCCGGGGCGAGTGGGAATTGTTAGAATCAAGAAGAATGAACTAACAGTGAAATGAGTACAAGTATGAAAACCTAGAAATGTGTACCCCCTATAGGCTAACCCACTGTAGCCTAAACAACTGCAATAACATATATAATGTTTGACACACCCCCATAGGCGAAGTGGGGGAGAACTAGGGGTCACAAGACCAGTCAAGTAAAGCAAAACAAAGCAAAGCAAGCTCAGGGTGGATCACAACGTCACCACACAATCCGAGCACAAGTTCAAGGCCATAAGGCCAGTTCACATGCAGGAGTACATATATATATATAAGACTAAACAAGCAAGAGCAGTAATATATATATGTAACAGTACAAAGAGGGTCAAGAGGAGAGCAAGTGAGGGAAGACAGGCACAAGACCCAGCTGGGTACAGCAGCGCTGATGATCACAAGGCGAAAGTGCCTTGGTGAAGACATCAGCAGTGTTGGCCTCAGAGGTCACGTACGCAAGTCGCAACTGACCACGCTGCTGTAGCTCACGAGCAAGGAAGTAGCGGAGAGCAATGTGCTTTGTCCTGTGCTCCAATCTCTGCTCTCGACACAAGGCCAGCATGGCCTTGTTGTCGACGTATAGGACTGGAGGAGAACGAGGCGGCTCTCCAAGGTCGGTCAACAGGTAGGTGAGCCAACGAAGCTCCTGAGCACGGGGAGCGGGTGGGGCCGTTAGGGACGAGCGCGGGGCCGACGTGGGCCTCTAAGGGCGAGCGCGGGGCCTATCAGGGCCGTGAGGGACGAGCGCGGGGCCGATCGGGGCCGTAAGGGACGAGCGCGGGGCCTGAATGGCAAACGCGGGGCCACCCGGGGCCTTAGGGACGAGCGCGGGGCCGATTCGGGGTCGTAAAGGGTGAGCGCGGGGCCGTTCAGGGCCGCTAAGGGCAAGCGCGGGGCCGACGTGGGCCGCTAAGGGCAAACGCGGGGCCGATCGGGGCCGTTAAGGACGAGCGCGGGGCCGACGCGGGCCTCTAGGGGTAAGCGCGGGGCCGATTCGGGGCCTCTAAAAGCGAGCGCGGGGCCGATCGAGGCCTCTAGGTGCGAGAGCGCGGGGCCGACGGGGCCTCTAGGGGCGTGAACGCCGAGGCGCCCTAGGGCGTAGGTAGGTAGGTAGGTAGGTAGTGGTGGGCCCTAAAAAAAATCGGTCCTAGGAAGGACCTGCTCTATACCATGTTAGAATCAAGAAGAATGAACTAACAGTGAAATGAGTACAAGTATGAAAACCTAGAAATGTGTACCCCCTATAGGCTAACCCACTGTAGCCTAAACAACTACAATAACATATATAATGTTTGACAGGAATGACGCGATCCTGGTCGTCGTCGATCAACTGACGAAAATGGCACACTTCGCAGCCTGCAAAAAATCAATCACAGCCGAAGAAACAGCCCGCCTCTTCATCTCTACCGTCGTTCGACTGCACGGGATACCAGCATCCATCATCAGCGACAGAGACACGAAATTCACTAGCAACTTCTGGTGGAACCTGTGGCAGCAGTTCGGCACGCGACTACAGTTTAGTTCATCGTATCACCCCGAAACAGACGGACAGACAGAACGGACAAATCAAACCATGGAGCAACTCATCAGGGCCACGTGCGACGATCCAAACACGTGGGAGCAACAACTGCCACTCATCGAATTCGCATACAACAACGCCCCATCCGCCACGACCCAACAGTCACCGTTTTACCTGAATTACGGACAAGACCCAACAGTACCCATGACCCCGAATCCCGACAACCCGGTTCCACGCGCGCAACAGTTCGCTGAAATTCTGCAAGCAGCACGGACCAGGGCAGCAGACGTAATAAAAAAATCGAACATCATCGCTAAACGCAACGCCGACCGCCACCGCAGACCTGCCACTTACCAGCCCGACGACCTAGTTTTACTCGACACTCAGAATCTCCGACTGCCCATCACACCCAAACTCCGCCCCCGATACTGTGGGCCATTTCGTATCAGCCACATGATAACACCCGTCACCGCCCACCTCCTCCTCCCTGCTGACTGGTACGTCAGCCCCTCGTTCCACGTCAGCCTGCTTCGCCCCTACGTCCCATCCACAAACCAACTCCCACGCAATCGCCCAGCTAGCATGGCACGACCGCCAACCGAACCAATCATCGCCCCCGACAAAATCCTGAGCCACAGAGTTCGTGACCCTCGAGGAGCCCGAAAGATCGAGTTCCTGATCCGCTGGAAAGACCGTACACCCACCGAAGACAATTGGGTTCCCCTGGACAGAATCGAAAACCACCCTGTTCTCACCGAATATCTGCGTAGCCGAAACTTCAGGGACGTCCACGCACTTTCGTAAGGAGGACCTCCTTAGGAGGGGGGGTAGTGTAAGGAAAATCACTTTTCCTTACTTCGCATCCCCGCTCAACGCGTACATCACTGTAGCACCACAGTCAGCACCGTTACCACTCGCGATCCTCGCCTCGACAATCAGCCCGCCACTTTCGCACATCGCACCCCAACCTCACGGCTCGGCTGGTAACCCGCGCTCCGGGCCTCCGCTTCGACACTTTCCCAAACCTCAGTCCCAGGCCCGTCGCCAGGGCCCAAAATTGGTTTTGGCCTACCCTGTCGAATCAGAGTTCCAGGGTGGGCCAACCCTGACTCCTAGGGTAAAAATTTTCGTACCCTGATGAAAACAGAGTAAAAAAAATTCGTACCCTGATTCTGTTAAAAATTCCATATTTATAACGAGTAAATTCATTGCAAGTTGAAGTGTTTCACTCGGTCAGAGGTGAAGCAGTGAGAGGAAAGGTCGCAGGTTAAATGCTCCCAGTGGGACATGAGCGGAGAGCACCACTTGATGTCGCCATTTTGCGCAACATCCACCGTATCAGTGTAACAGGATTAAAACACTGATGAAAGTCAGGGGAAACAATCTATAGCTCGGAATTCATAAGGGTACAAAAAATCAAACTCTTTATGAGTCAGGGTAAGAAATCCGGGAGCCTGACTGGGTCAGGGTAACCTAAAAAAAAGCGGCCGCCAGTCAGGGCAATCAGGGTATTCTACCCTGACATTTTGGGGCCTGCCCGTCGCGCGACAACCACAGTCCATTACCGTTACCACTGTAGTTTCGCTATATATTCTTCGCTCATGCCTTCGCTCATTGTACTCTTGCTTCGATAGTGCAATTCTAGTTCGTTCACTCAATTGCACTCGTAACACCTACCCTTGTATACAAGGTTTTCATCTGCTTGAAAATTCTGGCTTTGATTTTCAGGAACCCTGAAAATTCAGGGTTTTTTTTTTGGAACACTGAAAATCAGGGTTTTGTTCACAGGGACCCTGATGCATCAACATGCCTTACCGTAAAGTGAATCTGAGGGCCTGCTTCTGACTTGGTGTTTAGACACGACAGATGCGCTTAGAATTATTGTTTCCAACATATACTATCCCAACCATACCCCCTGGGCTTGCTGAAATCGGAATAGGATCTGGCAATCCTGTGAAACCCCTGTTTACTGCTTGAATTTTTCACCATCAGATGCAGTACCAGATGCACATGTATTTGATTATTGTGGTAAAAGTATGATGTCTACATTGTTGTCTCGGCCTTGCAGCAGCATCTCTGCAGCAAAAGATATCATTTTCCTTTTCTTCGCAGCACGTAGCGTTCCTCCAAGCGCCTCAAATATGTCTCCTGTTTCGTCAAAAAGCTTGCCAAACTTCACCTGTGGTAAAACAAATGGACAGGGGGCAAACGAAAATGAAGACTGGACGATGAAGTCCGGAGGCAGCTAGATGTCGTGAGCGCGATGAAGCACAGTCATGTGTAACAAAAAGCGGCTGATGAATCAAAGCATATCGTGTAGCCATACAGAATGGCATTCCAATTTGGGTTTATGCCGCATTTCAGCAAGTTCACTATAGATACGAGTCTGAGCACACACACACGCACGCACTTTTCCCCACCCTCCCGCCCCCTCCCCCGCCCTCCCCCCCCCCCTCCCCCATTCCCCCATTTCCCCCACACACGCACGAACACCCACACCACAACCCCTTTCATGCACATGAATTGACAATCTCACATGAATGAGCTAGCACAGGAAATGTTTCACTGCACATCATTATGCAATACAGAAAGTGTGCCACCAAATACAATCGTTATGCTTGCATAAACAAACAATTAGGTGGGAATGGATCCATAACACGAACCTTGACGGATCCATCAGCCTGCTTCTCCCCCAGCTTTGTAATTTCCTCCTTGAGCTTTTCAATCTCCTCATCTACATTCATGGTTGAACCCTGACTTTGTCTGCCCGGATGCGGGTGAAACGGGGAAGAGGATAAACAAGAACAGGGCATCCATTCGCACTACTGGTCATCTAAAGCTTCAACAAAGGACTCATTCTGGAAATCCGGCGTTCTTTTTTACAATAAACAGCTCAAGGGAAAAAAGCTCGGTTACTTGAACGCCAGTCACCAGCAAGTGAAGGGAGTCTGCGAAAATTGACGGTATGGTCACCTTTACGATCTTCGCAATAAAGGATATTAATATTCGATGGAACGAGATCGGGAGGCGGGAACGAGATCCTTGAGGAAAGGCTGGTCAGAAAAGAAGGTAAAATCTCAACACTAATACCGAAGTGATCAAAACAGAACAGTTGTGGCAAGTGAGTGTGCCAGCCAGTCCAACATGCTCAATTCCGTTCCTTGTGAAGAGCTGGAACCAAGTAAGGCAACTACCAGTCCAACATGTTATTTATCGCTGTGAACCACAGTGAAACTCTTTACCTGACTTATTGACCGCTTGATATTCTAGTGAAACTCACTTGACCGCATTCAGTCTCTACTTGGAAGATATGTTTGGGTGGGATGTCCAAGGATTGAGAAGGAATTTCGGGAAGTTGGTCAGGAAAAGGGTAATCCCGGGGAGCGAAGAGGGTTTTGAAGCGGTTGGGATGGGCTGACAGACTGGGCGGTTTGGCAAGCATTTGGAGCAGATAAGGTTGGGTGAACGTGCGGTGGACGAATTTGACGAAGCGTTACAGTTTACGGCGAAAACGATACATATGCTTGTTGTACTCTAAGGTGTTGTGGTGATCACATAACTAAGGGCGTATCTCTGGTTCCGGTCACTCTCACTGTTCATTCAACTGTTCGGGTCATGCGTAAAATGCGCATGACCCGAAGTGGGCTGCCGAGCCGCGCGCGGCCCCAGCTTTGGGTCAATGTGCAGGTGTCGGGCGACTGACGTGCACGACCCTCCCCCAACCAATCACCTGGTTGCACGATTCACGTCAGACTGCCATCTTTTTGGCCGTCGTCATTCGAGTGCCACAATTTTGCAATGTACCGTATTCTATACCTCTGCACCCAAACACTTGGCAAATTGATCCCAGTGACCCCCGAATGTGTCTTGAATTTCCCGCGTCACGCTCCCAACATTTGGGGATTCATGCCGACATTTTTTACGATTTCGTTTTTAGATGGGTGTCGTATGGTTTTGCGTGGGTGTAGCAGATGATCTTTCGAGCTGTTCTGGCATCCCTCCATTGGATGCGACTGTTGTTTGGGGCGTAATATTGGCGCGAAAAAGCCTCGCGCCAATTTGGAGGTCGCATGAGTACCGAGAACTATAAGTGGTGTTTTGTGTTGTTCCGGGCATCCGCAATTCGCGCATGCCCGGAACAGTGCAAGTGACCGGAACCAGAGATACGCCCTAAGAGCTTGACAAATCCACGTAAATCACGCCCTTGTTTGCGAACAGGCTTACCATCCTTCACTAGTCCTTCTGAGCTCATTTCGGTAGTTTCTCGTCTCTTCAGTTGTCTTCAGTCTTCGACAGTTGTTAATAGCCTAGATACAGTCATGGTAGTGCGGAAGTTAATCAAGCAAAAGCCGCGGAGGGGTAAATTCTCAGGCAAGAATTTCAAAAAGCGCGAAGTCCTTATCAATGCAGAGGAGGAGGCTAGAATCGAGGCGAAAACTCTAGGACTGAAGTACACCCCGCCTGTTGGCGGGAAAAAGAAGAAGAAAAAGCCCAAGTGTTCCCGATGGTTGTTTCCAGGAGCTCACTACCCGGGGAAACCCGCGCCTCCTCGAAAAAATGCGCGCGGAAGTGACACGGAGAGTCTGGATAATGACGTGGATAGGCGTGTCGCTGACGTGGATGCATCGGAAATGGATAAGGGAGTGCAAGAACGAAAAGGCACGGGAAGGTTGCGCTATTTCGAGCAGATGGTGGGACCGGAGAGGACGCAGGGAGGCGAGCTTGATAGCGTGACGTTTTCGCGAGCGAAGAAGCGGGAGAAAGAGGAGATTCGCGGGAAGAAGCGGAGAGAAAAGGAGGAGAAACGCGAGACAGAACGCCGGGAAAAAGAGGAGCGACGAGCGGAAAAGCGTGCGAAACGGGAGAGCCGAAACGGTGTAGCGGCACCCGGGAATGCGGACCTGTCAGGTTCCGCTGCGGAGCTAGCATCCAATGCAGCTGAAACGTCAAACGGGGTTGGGGTTAAAGCGTCGGGTGGGGTTAAAGCATCTTCTGGGGGCAAGCCGTCTGCTGGGGTTAAAGCATTTGCCGAGGTTAAAGCATCGGGTGTGGCGGAGGTGTCTAATGCAGCAGCAGACAGCTCGAGCGAGGACGAGGAGGAGGCAAAGAGGCAAGCGGCGATCAGCTCTGTCGTTGTTGAAGGGACGCATATCATGGGCGCTGCTGCCGCTACTGCCACGTTCAGGTGAGACTTGAATAGAATAGGGTTTGGGGTCGGGTTTCAGGATAGAAGCGGCGTTTAGCTCCCACGCGAAATTAGGGTTTGGGTTCGGGTTCAGGGTACAGGCGAAGAAGCTGGCCGCGATCAGCTCCGTCGTGGTTAAAGGGTCGCACATCATGGGCGCTGCTGCCGCTACTGCCACGTTCAGGTGAGACCTGAATAGAAGAGGGTTTGGGGTCGGGTTTCAGGATAGAAGCGGCGATCAGCTCCGTCGTGGTTGAAGGGACGCATATCATGGGCGCTGTTGCTGCTCCCACGTTCAGGTATGGTGCTCGGGGGAATAGGGTTTGGTGTGCCAGGTAAAGGTGGGATAACAGGCAACAATCAGCTCCGTTGTGGTTGAAGGGACACACATCATGGGCGCTGCTGCTGCTCCTACTAGATTCAGATGAGACCCTGAATAATCAGGGTTCTGGGGTTTAGGATAGAGGGATGCAGCGTTTAGTTCTTTGTGGTTGACGTGTAGAAAATCATCGGTGTTGCCGCACCCGTGCTGCACCCCTGGCGAGGATGGTTTTTCAGGGATCAGGGTTTCGGGGCCCAGTTTGAGCCGCAGTTGGTTGGATTAACATGAAAGCCCCAAGGTCCATCCATGTGAGGAGGACTGTGTTCAGTGGCCATGATTTTGTGTGCAGGCACAAGCGCAAGGCAAAGCGGGGACTCCAATCAACCCTGGGGGATCAAGGAGAGGAGGAGAGTGGGAGTGAGGATGACTATGCTCAGTTGCTTGTGTGCGTGGATGTCATGTGGCAGGCACAAGCGCAAGGCAAAGAGGGGGCTCCAATCAACCCTGGCGAGCAAGGAGAGGAGACGGTTGAGGAAGATGGGTTTACAGCCGGATGGAGAGGAGGGGAGTGAGAGTGAAAATGAAGGGGAGGAGGAGGGAGGGGAGGATGGGGAGGGGAGGGGCGGAGAAGATAAGGGTAAAGACCTGAAGCTCAAGCACTATCAGATTCGGGTAAGTATTGCATACTGGTGAGTTGTACGTATGTTGGATAGGAAGAGAAAGCTTCCTGCTAGTTCCTTGCCTACCGAACCTGTAATTTCTTTCTAAATTATGTCCTTGGCACCATGTGGGTTTGGATTGTGCACCATGTGGTCACCATTTGCATTCCCTCATTTGCACTTCTCTCCCTCTTCCAATTTGAATTAATCCCATTCTACCTCCAGGCTCAGGATATGCTGCATCAGCATTTGGACAAGCTACTGGAGATGACTGTAGCTGCTGCGGAGAAAGGAGTAGGGGAAGGAGAGGGAGGGGAAGGTGGAGCAGAGGATGCAGTCAATGGTAACGTTGATGGCAGTGGCAGGGATGATGGTGAAACAAAGGCTGTGAGGAAGCGTAAGGAAAAAATGGGGAAGAAAGAAGGGAAAAGGGAGGAAAAAGGTGTGAAGAAGACCGAGGGAGTTGGAATGGAAGGCCGGGAGGGGAAGAGACGAAAGAAGGGAGAGAGGAGAATGCAAGCGAAGCAAGCCAAGATTCAAGTGCCAGAGTCGGGTGGGATTGCGCTTTTTAGAAAAGGCCCTGTTGTTTCACTTCAATGAAATGACACCTTTTTGTGAAAACTGCATGTGATGTTGCAATTGTTTATGAAGTCGCCTGAATTGCAAAGGCGACACTATGCCCCGGTACACGTACGAAGGCCTGTACAGAACCGAGATTCCTCAAACAATATTGCGTTCGGAGGGCTTGAAACGAATGCCCATGCTGGTGTCCCCAGGGTCACAGTTGGGTTTGCAACTCGCCATTTCGTGCACTACTTTCAGCATCAGCTTTTTGTCTCAGCTCTACTTCTCTACCGTTCCATTCTTGCCAACAACAGATGGTTTTCTCCATTCTCCGACATAACCTTGGATGTCTCCTCCGCAGCCACCTTCTTGCTAATCCGTCGGCCTCTTGTTTAATTTCCCACTCCGTTCCTCTTCTACGAGGCGAAGTGTCCACGCGGGGTGTACAACACATTAGGTGTCATTTCAGATTTAGCAGTGTCCTCATGGCATCAGAAGAGCCGAAATCAAAGGAGACCATTGCTTCAGATCAGCAAACCACGAAAGATGTCACGGCGTCAGAAGAACCGAAAGCAGATGGCAATCAAGCTCCAGAAGAACCATCATTGAAGAAGATGAAGGTTGACCCGGAATTGTCTCTCCGTGTCAAGAAGCTGTCAGAGACGGCAGTTCTTCCCAAACGAGGGTCTGCGAGTGCTGCCGGTTACGATCTTTCAAGGTATGCAAATAAAATTCTGGCCGCGATTACCGGGAGACAAGTATTGGGCTTGACTCTGTTTACCTCGATACTTTCGGGCCAATTTCGTCTTCCCGTCCTGTGACGGTTCTTCTTATAGCTTGCTTGTCGTATTTCAGCGCACATGACGTCACCGTGCCTGCAAGGGGTCAGGCACTCGTCAAGACAGACCTCGCAGTCGCCATTCCGCTGGGGACTTATGCTCGAGTGGGTGAGTCCCAGTTTCGCTGTTATCCTTCCTATTCTCCGCAAGTCTTAAGATTTTTTCCAGCCTGTAGCTAAAACACCCGACGCCTCGTCATGATATTTCAAAGCGAATGCATTTTGTTTTTAGCAGAATCTTCTAAGTTATTCGCTCGGATACTTTCTCTTCCATCCTTCATTCTCTGATCATTTGCCATGCCATCTCAGCTCCTCGCTCTGGCCTTGCCCTGAAGCATTCCATCAACGTGGGAGGAGGCGTGGTTGACTACGATTACCGTGGAAATGTGGGAGTGATTCTCTTCAATCATTCTGACAATGACTTCCCTGTGAAGGCCGGCGACAGAGTCGCACAGCTGATCCTTGAGCGAATAGTCACTCCTGATGTTGTGGAGGTGGAAGAGTTGGATGAGACCACACGGGGGGCTGGAGGGTTCGGCTCCACAGGGGGCAGCGACGCTTTGAAGCATACATAGAAGAAGACTAGGCTGAGCTGACATTGAATCTCAAGGGTGAGGGGACATACGTAGCTAACCTGTATTTGGTTCGGGCAAGAGCTAGTGTGCTGCTGTGCTTGCCAGTCTAATCATTTTTGTGTTGATTCCACCTGAACATGCTACCGGTAGATTTGGCTGAGACCATCTCTCTGCACTGCACAGTTCATTGGTTTTGCATGAGCAGCACACTCAGCGTAGATGCTGCTACCGTCCTGGCACAATTTGTACATATGTTGAATCCGTTATAATCGAATTAATGATCAGAGGGCAGGAACCAATCACTACTTCAAAAGAATAGACGAGCAGGAACTACCGGGTACAATGTTTTCACACAAGCGCAGGCTTATCTTTGCCCAAAAAGTTCTCATATCATGATGTGCAGCTTATTCCTCCCCTGTTCTTGTTCCAAGAACCGAGATGTCCTCGTACCGCTTCTGCAAAGGTACAAAAAGGGTTTGCAGATGAGGAGGCAACATGTCGAAAAGAGTGAATAAGGGAGCATAGCGATAACAGTGAGGAAGTTAGGGCGCGTGTCCTTGTACAGTGTTTTGCAAAACTCGTCTTTTTAGTTGAACTTCTACCATTTGAACCTAGGTCGACCTAGGCTCGAGCATATAGATTCATTTTTCTCTAGCCACTGTTCCTCGCTTCACATGTATCACACGGCACACAACAGTTCGACTAGTTAAGTTCAACTTTGAACAGTAATTTACGAGTCGCGCTGAGCTTTCGTAGGTTACCTGGTAGGGCGGTGCAGTTCGTGACCGTATACGGCTTCAGTAACCAGGTACGATGTAACTCGTTACTGTCGTGAACCTCGCGAAATTTCGTACGTACGCAGAAGGACACACGACTGGATAAATGAAATCGTAAAAATCCGAACTCAGGTCGACTTTAGTTCAGTGTCCTACTTCTTTCACACAGTTTGACATAGGACACACGATTCCCTCGCGATCGTTTTGGCGAGATTCACGAAACGGGTTACCAGAAAAAGTTCAACCTTTTTCCCGAACTCCTACACCAAAGGACACGCGCCCTTATAAACATAGAAACCCAGATCAAAATATACCGTATATGTATCTACAGAATACGGACCAATGCATCTGTTGGATCAGAACTTACCCCCTTGTTGTACGAGTCCCAAAGCTGATCAAAGGTGTAGTTGACCGCCTGGTGAAGGGGCAGTGTGGAAGGAAGAGACAAGAGTGAAGAGACAAGTGCAAAAAAACAAAACACACACACACACACACGTTCACCTCGGCGTCATCAGAACAGAACTAGCTGACTTGGTAACATATCTATATCGCCTGCAAGACGCTACAATTGCAGGTGGGTCCGCGATTTACCTAGGCCATCTATGCAAGGCTCCTAGACCACAGCACTTACAGGAAGCACGAGGAAGCATCTGTGATCAGAGCCGACACCACGCGTAACGATACACGCAAGGCTATCTATTTAGAAGTCGGAACATTTGGTCACGCAATAAAAGAATGTACCGTAGAGCTGAACTGGATGCTTTGATCTAAGAACTGGTGAAGGAATGAAAGAATGAACCGGCTGTTTGAAGCGCGTCACCCATAACTTGTTTCGGTGGCATCAACGGACGGAATGAAAGCATCTCCAATATACATCCCTCCTGAACTAAACGCATCGCTGCCAGCAAAACACTCTCCGCTTCATAAACGCTGGGACTCTCCCACGACGTACAGCTGAAGCTGAGACGAAACTCAAACCTAGCCGCACCCAGATCTATCCTTCGATCGATCGTGAGACCCAGGGTATGCGGAGCGAAACAAGCAAAACGTGCGGTTCGTTGCCTTACCCGCTCTCCGGCAAGCGCGCCGACGAAGATGAAGCCGATGTATACCGAGTTACGCTTCATGACCGTGCGGTAAAGCACGTCTGCGAGCCCCATGATCGCTGGCGAGGAGGTTCAACGGATAAGAAATCGAACGCGTTGGAGCGAGACGGGGGAGACGAAGGCCCCTGGCCGATGGACGGCTGAGCTGGATGCGTGGGTTGCGGCGTGGCGAGTTGGGAGTGCGGAAATAAGTAGGTCGGTTGAATATTTGGGTGCGGGGCTACGGGGTACCGGGAGGGGGAGAGTGGCGGAAAGCTTTGAGGGGGAAGTGCGGAGCGTGGCGGATTTACGCGGACGTGGAACGGATGGGGGAAAGCGAATGGCGGGGAGCGGGAGCACACGGAACGCGCGGAGCTTCGCGGCCAATAGCACCTTCGAAAACACATGAACCATTATTATCTGATTACGTAGCTGCTACAGTGATGACTAAGGATGAAAGCATGATTATGTAGCTAGGAAATTCAGCATCATTTGCAACATACAGTGCCAAACAAAGAGTACTGAAGCAACAACGCCCCTTCCCTCTTCTGGGCTGAAAAAAAGGCCCTTAGGATCTTTGCAGGACTAAACTCCTGGTAGGACTGATGTAATAGCGGAAGCGTTTAATAAAGAGTTGTGAACCACCTTGTGCTGATATGTGAGGGCAAAGTAGATTGATTAAAACAAAGAGATACAAGCTTTTATCAGAGTACAAGGGAATATGAAGGGCTATAACTAATAACTGTTTTGCTGTTGCTGTTGCGGTTCGATACAGTGACGACTCGAGCAACAGCTCAACAGCGAGTCAGTTGTTTGTCCTTGCTGTCGCGCTGTACTTATCAGGTCAAAGGTCGCTGACCTTTGCCTTTCGCGTAACCTCCAGCAGTTGCTCAACCTCCGAGGGTTGACTCGCTGATGCTTCGATATGCTTCGCTTCGCTTCTGACTTGGTGTTTCGACACAACAGAGACGCTTAAGTTACTTGTTTCCAACACTCCCCTTCGCTTCTAAAGTGTAGCTGCTGGTGACGTCGCTCTGTGTTACGAGAAGTGAGAATGGAATGAATGAACTATGAAACAAGTTGGGTACAAGTACTAAACCTAATTGGGTTGTACCGCTTATGGGCTACCCCACTACAGCCTACCAAAATGTATAAGCAAAGTGGGGGAGAACAAGTGGTCACAAGACCAGTCAAGCAAAGCAAAGCAAGCTCAAGGTGGATCACAAAGTCACCACACAGTCCAAGCACAAGAGTAAGGCCACAAGGCCAGTTCACATGCAAGGTCATATATATAAAGGTAAAACAAGCAAGGGCAGGGATAGAAAGAAGACAGTACAAACAAGATCAAGAAGTGAGCTAGTGAGGCCAGGTAGGCACAAGACCTAGCACAGTACAGAAGCGCTAATGATCACAAGGCGGAAGGGCCTTGGTGAAGATATCAGCAGTGTTGGCCTCAGAGGCCACGTAGGTGAGGCGGAGCTGACCACGCTGCTGCAGCTCACGAGAGAGGAAGTAGCGGAGAGCAATGTGCTTCGTTCTGTGCTCCAGTCTGTGCTCCCGATACAAGGCCAGCATGGCCTTATTGTCTACGTACAGCACCGGAGGAGAACGAGGCGGCTCTCCTAGGTCAGTCAGCAGGTGGGAGAGCCAGCGTAGCTCCTGTGCAGCCATGGCCCCTGCGTAGATCTCAGCCTCACAGCTGGAGCCGAGAACAGAGGACAAGCGAGAAGACCGCCACAAAACAGAGCCGGAGCCAAGGCTGAAGGTGTAACCCTGTGACGACCGCTGCGTAGCCTGGTCGTCAGCCCAAGAAGCGTCAGCGTGACCTGTGAGGACTACTCGACGTCGCCCTCCAAGCACTAGCCCCATGCCCGACGTACTGCACACGTAGCGCAACACCCTCTTCGTTGCAGCCATGTGCTCTGGTCGGTGTCTCCGAGGAGCAACATAGCGTGCCAAGATGCTAAGAGGGTATGCAAGGTCAGGTCGAGTGCAGGTCATCAGGTACATAAGGCAGCCAACATGCTCTGGGTACGGGCCACTCGATGTGAAATCAAAGAACGAGAATGGATGACTATGAAGTGAAGTGAATACAAATAGGAAACCCTAATTGTGTTGTACCCCCTATGGGATACCCCACTATAGCCTACAGAAACAAGTAAGCTATATGTTCTAACACACCCCCATAGGCAAAGTGGGGGAGAACAAGGGGTCACAAGACCAGTCAAGCAAAGCAAAGCAAAGCTCAGGGTGGATCACAAAGTCACCACGCATTCCGAGCACAAGTTCAAAGGCCAGAAGGCCAGTTCACATGCAAGATCATATATAGAGATATACAAGAGTCAAGCAAGCAAGAGCAAGAGTATATATAGGCGAAGGTACAAGCAAGGTCAAGAGGAAAGCAAGTGAGGCAAGACAGGCACAAGACCCAACTGCGTGCAACAACGCTGATGATCACAAGGCGCAAGTGCCTTGGTGAAGACATCAGCAGTGTTGGCCTCAGAGGCCATGTACGCAAGTCGCAACTGTCCACGCTGCTGTAGCTCACGAGCAAGAAAGTAGCGGAGAGCAATGTGCTTCGTTCTGTGCTCCAGTCGCTGCTCTCGACACAAGGCCAGCATGGCCTTGTTGTCTACGTACAGGACTGGAGGAGAACGAGGCTGCTCTCCAAGGTCGGTCAGCAGGTAGGTGAGCCAGCGTAACTCCTGTGCAGCCATAGCCCCAGCGTAGATCTCAGCCTCACAACTGGAGCCGAGAACAGAAGACGAGCGGGTAGCTCGCCACGAGACAGAGCCGGAACCAAGGCTGAAGGTGTAACCCTGTGACGACCGCTGCGTAGCCTGGTCGTCAGCCCAAGAAGCGTCTGCGTGCCCAGTGAGGACCACTGGACTGCGCCCTCCAAGCACTAGCCCCATGCCCGACGTACTGCACAAGTAGCGCAACACCCTCTTCGCTGCAGCCATGTGCTCTGGTCGGTGTCTCCCAGGAGCAACAAAGCGTGCGAGAATGCTAAGAGGGTATGCGAGGTCAGGTCGTGTGCAGGTCATCAGGTACATGAGGCAGCCAACAAGCTCTGCAAACGGGCCACTTGACTCTACGGACTCATCCGAAGGCAGAGCTGAGAGCGAGTGGCGAGTAG